TCTGTGGAAATGAAAATGTCGTTAAAAACCTTCAGTAGAGCAGTTTCAGTGCTATGGAGAGATTTGAAGCCAGATTGGAATAACTCTAGGATAGCGTGATCCCCCAAAAACTGTCTCAACTGAGACTCCACAATTTTTTCCAGTAGTTTAGAGGTGAATGGGAGTCTGGAAACAGGCCGGAAGTTGGACGTGACTGAGGGGTCAAGGTTAGGTTTTTTCAGGAGGGGCTGGACAGCAGCATGTTTAAAAGTCTTTGGCACCACACCTGAGGATAAACTGCTATTCAGAATAGTGAGGATAAAAGGACCCAGGGTAGGAAAAACTTCCTTTAGTAGTCGAGGGGGGACCACATCAAAGGGGGAACCAGATGGTTTCATGCTGCACATTACCTGCTCCAGAGAGGACAGATAGATGGGCTCAAAGTGGTCAAACACAGCCACACACTGAGATGGGATGGACAGATCATGAGCTGGTGGAGAAATGAGTGCCCGGGTGTTTGCCACTTTTTCTAAAAAGAAATGGAGGAAGTTCTCACACAGCTCAGTTGAGGCTTCCAGAGGTGAAGGCTCACTGAGGTGTAGAACTGAGTTCAGGGTGGAGAAGAGAACTCGGGGGTTGTGGGAGTTGGAGACAATTAAATCAGAGAAGAATTTACATTTGGCAGCTTTAACGGTTTTCTGATAGTGACGCCAACTCTCCCTTAACATTTGAAAAGACACCTGCAGCCTGTCCTTCCTCCACCTTCATTCAGCTCTGCGACACTGCCGCCTAACGGCTCGCGTGACGTCATTCAGCCAAGGCTCTGATTTAAGTTTCGTTTTTCTGGTTTTAAGGGGAGCAACAGGGTCCAGAACATTTAAACAGGCAGAGTTGAACTGAGAGGTTAGCTCCTCAGTGGTAAGAGACACCGGGAACTGTTCGATCCTCTCAGAATTAAAACCTTCATTAAAACGAGCAGCAGTGAAACGGTTAATGGAACGCGTACGTGCAGGAACGCGCGTCTTAGCAGTAGGACAAGGGGGGGTGAAGTCAAACAATACAGGCATGTGATCTGAAAAAACATTGTCACCGATTTTCAAATTAGAAACAGAGACATCGCGTGTTAAAACGAGGTCCAGCGTGTGACCGCCTTCTTGGGTGGGGCCGCTCACCTGCTGAGCTAAGCCAAAAGAGTCCAATAAATCTAGAAAGTCCTTCACTAAGGGCTTCTCCTGACAACACACATGCAAATTAAAGTCACCAATAAACAAAAAGTGAGTGTATCTCTGTGTGATATCAGCCAAAAAGTCAGAGAATTCATTTATGAAGTCCTTAGAACGAGGTTGGCGGTAGATGAGCGCACACAGGACCGGAGGAGAGTGTCCAAGTTCAAAGGCGCTCAGCTCGAAGCTGGCGCGGGACACCGGGATGGACAACTGTTTACAGGCAAAGTTTGTAGTATGAGAAGTTGTGATGGGAGGTCAGATGATTAAGGGGTGCCTGAGAGAGATTTGATGGTTTTCCAGAATCTGTTGGGGTCATTTAGATTGTTGGAGGTCTGAGATAAGAAATAGTTTCGTTTTGCTGCTTTGACAACAGTTGTACATTTATTCCTCATCTGTTGAAAACTCAACCAATCAGTGTCTGAGTCAGATTTTCTCGCTGCAGCCCAAAGATGGTCTCTCCTGTGCAGCAGGTCAGCTAGCTCTGGAGTAAACCAGGGGCTGTCTCGTCCCTTTATTCTGAACTGACGAAAAGGAGCATGTATGTTCAGGAAATAAATGAAATTATTATGAAAATAGTTCCAAGCAGAGTTCACATCATCAGTTAACAGAATACGATGCCAGTCCAAGTGAGACAGATCCCAGAGGAATGACTGTTCACAAAAACGTTTCAGATCCCTTTTTTTTTATTAATCTGGGCTTAGAAGGTGGAAGTTTAATATCTCTCAAAGCAGCTGTCACACAATGATCACTCAAAATGTCAGTGAATACACCTGTACCAGGGAATTTGTGAGGCATATTTGTTAGAAACAGGTCTAAGATGGAGGCATTTTCAGGATGGTTTTTGTTTGGTCTAGTCGGAGAGTTGATTAGTTGGGTAAGATTGAGAGACAGGCAACATTCCTTGAATTTATCACAGTGGGGGTCGACTTATCCCAGTCAATGTTGAAATCTGCCAAAAAGATCTATTTGAATTTTAAATTACCAAGAAATTCCATCAGGGCGGACAGAGCCTCAGGTGTTGCTGAGGGTGGACGATAACAACCCACTACAGATAAAATCTGGCCTCCACTCAAAGTGATGTTTACAGCTAAGGCATCAATTTGGTTTGGAATTGTTTTAGAAGACACAAGACTAGCAACCAAAGAATCTCTGATATAAACAGCGACTCCCCCCACCCCCTTTTTTTGACGATCACAGCGATGGATGTTAAATCCATTGATTACCAGGTCATTATTGAGTACAGATTTGTTGAGCCAGGTTTCAGAAATAAAGATAACATCTGCCCCAGAAGAACTGACCAGGATTTTCATGGCATCAAGTTTTCTCAGAAGGCTACGAGCGTTTACATGCAGAAAATGAAGCCCAGACACGTTCTTAAAGTCATTTGGTGTCATAAATAGTGGGGGGTCCAAGGTTGGGCTGAATCTCTGAAAGCAGTAACAACATTTTCTTGAGTTTTTTGTGACTGATGTGTAATTACAGGAGTTAACAGTGTGACAATTAGCCCCCATAATCGAACCATCTGAAACATTAATGAAGACGCGATCATTCAGAACCAAAAACAGTGAAAGTTGCAGTGATGGGCAGATTCAGGTGTATTAACAAGATTCAGTGACTCCAGATAATCTGAGAACTGAAAATAGTGACAATAATATGAATGATGCAGAAAAGTCTCAGACCATAAAATGCCACAGTTCAAATGGGCAAACAAACCCGACGAGGCGGCCCAACTGCAGTTTGAGTTGGGCTGAGGGGGGCTCCGGCCCCACTGCGAAGATGGATGGATGCTCCCATGGGAAACAGAAGCTGGGTCCAGAATCAACAGGCAGAAACAGAAACAGATAATTTGTAGCAAATAGCAGAGCGAGCTGCCAGAAAATCCTCCTGAAGTGAAAGGCATGGTCCTAGCTGGTTTCAGGTCAACAGGGGCCAACAGCGTGATCCGGAATAAAATTAATTATTGTCCAGGTGAGTTTGGATGGAGGCCTGCAGCAACTCCGATGCAAACTCCGAACTTCTCTCGAGCACCACATAGCACTGCTCCTCTGCTTCTCTGCACGACACCTCCGCACCTGACAGCACGAGAGGCACCCCCGGTGAAAAACTATGAGACTGACCGGAGAGGCTGAAGTCGTCACTGGTCCGGTCCGGTTCCGCTCCAATCCGGCTCCGGCGCACTACAGCTCGAGAGACGAAGAGGCTGAAGTTGTCCCTGGCCCGGTTCTGCTCCGGTTCTGCTCCAGTTCTGCTCCGGTCCGGTTCCGACGGCGCTTCAAATCATCGGAGCATCTCCTCCAGGCGAAAACAGTGATTCCACGGAAGTAGACCGTCCTTCATTAAAAGTAACGGGCTGCCCACCGAGGCTGAGACTGGCTCTGTTGAAGATCAAGTCCCCCACAGCCACCTCGGTTCGGTTCTGGTCCAGTTCGGGGGACACAGGTACACTTCTCCCACACCAATGAAGAAACCACGAGGGCCAGTCCAACAGAAAACCAGCAAAATACAACCCGGCGATGCTTGTCGAAACCAGGTAGAACCACAAAGGTCCAGATGAGAAGTATGTTGAGAAGTTTGTTCTTGTTGGGGTCCAGAGAGAGAGAGAAGAAACACCGGACCTTCGTGCGACAACTCCCCAGCTCGAGGGGTCACCTGGCTGGCAGGGTTTACTGCATCATTTGCCAACTCCTCCTTCAGGACAATTTGGTATTGTTCTAAGTCAAACATTAAAATGTGGCACAATAATTAGCATTGTTTTGGAGGATCTGATGCACAAATGTATAACATTTTGGAAACGTTCTTTATTGATTGTGTCAAAAACAAACTTTGATCACATCGTTTGATCCAACATGCAGCTGAACATGATGAGTGTATTGAAAATAACAGGAACTGAACAACTCCAATTCAAATAAACAATATTTGCTTTGGGGACAGGCAGAACTTTACTGATTCATGTCTGCCTTGAGTCTTTGCTGGTCCTCACAAATCCAAAACACCCAAATTAAGTGGACACACTGCTGTTCCGTGCCTGAGAGTATTCCCCAAGATCTGATTCATCCTGCCAGCAAATCCTAGAGGCCGCAAGTGGCCTGCGATTCTCACAAATCACATCCAGTCTGCGGCTTAGTTCTCAACGCAATTGAGTCTGGGTGCTTGAGGCACAAACCAAGTCATCACATCAGGTAGGCAGCCTGACCAGGGCCCAACGTGCTGCCGACGACTTCCTTGTTTGTTGATAAACCAAGAACCAGCCGATTCCAAAAAGCAGGAACCAGTTATCATAAATCCAATTATATATGTGTCCTCAACATCCTCGATTGACAACAGAGATAGACCCATCACCTTCCACTTTCCCCAAGAATCAATGACATATCCAAGTGAGTGTGTGTCATCAGGGCAAGTTGGCTCACCTAAAACATGTCTTCTCGTCAAAGAAATGTTATCTATTGCGTTGATGGACCAACTGACCAAATCCATTGTAGAATTACAATTTGACGATATGTAGAAAGAGGCTCTAAAGCAGTTTCAGACAGGACAGAGCAAAGCAACATGGAGAGGGAGAGGAGGGGAAAAGGCATCCGCCCTTGACAAGAGCAAGTGTTGAAGTGTCATCATCATCGTCACCACCACCATTATCATCACCATAATTGTCATTGCCGCCACCGCTATCATCATCATCAGCCGAGATGGGGTAGAGGCAGGGCAGCCAACTCGGGACCTGAAAGTTCCTGGTGCGATCCTCAGTCATTGCACATCTCATGGTGTCTCTGAGCAGCACACCTTATCCCCAATTGCTTCCGGGCGCTTTCAATAGCTGCCCACTGCTTGACCTGGGGGTGGATGGGTTAAATGCAGAGAGCCAATTTCACCATTGTATGGGAACATAAAATGATGACAATACATACATTATTATCATCATCACCACCAACACCACCATCACTTTTTCTTTGTTTTAGATTCAAATGAACGTTGACAACAGGTCCAGTCAGCCATTTGTTGGAATCTACCTTGAATGTGTCACCGATGAAATATACAAAATGTTTGAGGTAAAAGCAACAACAAAACACAAACTGAGACAAGAAAACACAAAAAGAGACAAGAATAAATCACAACTTTAAAATTATTAGGAAAAAAATGTGTTCAAGAAAGTAGAGAACTCTAAGTCTGCTTCTCCATCCAGCAGTTACCAATTGTTTAACTGTCTTCCAGAGAAAACTCCTGATGTTGGAGAAAGCGAATCAGACCTCCAGGAAGTGGCAACTTCTTCAAGTGTCGACGTCCAACCAAGAGCAGAACCTGCAGCCTGCAGAGCTGCAGCAGAGGCCGTGGCAGAGCTGCAACACATAAAGCCTGATGAGACCACAGACCAACCAGGAACACGCCGGGCCCACCCACAGTACTGACACAAATCAAAATTTTACTAAAGAAACAAACAGTTTCATTTATCTGCTGCAGTTGATCAATTTGGAGATGATCGATTATTGATTACCTGCTTTTTCTTTGATGGCTCTCCATCCAGAGTAACTGTCCAGGTGCTCCATCAGTCTGGAGCAGAGAGTCACGTGACCAACGTAGTCCAATAGGATGTCAATGATTGGTCCTGCCCACCGAGAAATACTGGGGGCCGAGATCATCTCACAGAACTGTCAATCAAAAAATCAGTCAGTTCCTGGTTTGTGTGATTTTTTTTCTAACTCCAAATTGCCTAAAAGTAATTTTATATCCTCAGAAAAAGTATGTCCAAGAATTCAAAACTTTGTAAAAATTGAGTTTATCTGTATATCAAGAAACTGAACTTGTTTTTTAAGATTTTAAGAAAGTTCACGTTTGTTTTCTATGAATTCATAATTTACAATCATCTTTTTATCTTATAGACTTTGAACAAAGTGTCCCACTGTGTCTCAGCTGACTGCTTCAACAGTTCCATACCACAACATTTTGTACCTGAATGCCTCTCCTCTGCAGCGTCTCAGGCAGAACTCTGTCAGAGTCGTGGTTCCAGTCCGATCGACTGGTTCGGATGGGTGGATGGGACTGGCTGCTGTAGACACAGTCGAAGCAGGAGAGGGCCTGGCCTCCGTGGTCAAGCAGGTACTTGAACAAGGGAAGGTACTTCATGGAGAACATGTAGACGGCGGGGAATGTGGTGGGGTGGGTTGGGATGCCAGCGTTAATGTCAGCACCATGTTCCACCAACAGTTGAACGGTCTGAATGCAGCCTATTCTTGCAGCCACCAGCAATGGCTTGAACATGTCCAGGTTTGGGTCAGCACCGGCAGCGAGCAACATGCTAACAGCATCAATGTTGTTGTTGATGACAGAGAAGTAGAGTGTGGTGCTGCGGCGGTCCTCATACAGCTTTGATCGCTCCTCGGACAGCTGAGCATTGACATCAAATCCTGCCTCGATCAGAACCTCCAGAGTCTCATCGCGGTTCCACTCTGCTGCCAGGTGCAATGGGCTGATACCAGTCCTCCTGACCCTAGCCTTACTGGTGACCGGGATCAACATGGCAACAATTCTGTGAACAGGAATCGAACCAGCAAATAGACTCAATGTTACTGGACAACCAATGCTACATGTTACAATTTTAAAAGGTGTTAGCTTCAAAGGTTAGTTACTATTGTGATCCAACTATAGGGAGAACCTTAAGTCGGCAGTGATCAGTTGACAGCTCTGCCCCTCCCTTCATCTGAGAGAATCGATCATCGGCCTTTGGCTTAAGATGGTCTGGTACCAAGCACACGCATGGACTACACTATGCTCAAAGATGGTGCTCGTTGGACAACTCATGCCTAGCACAGATGTCCAATAACAGAATAGAATTTGGGTTCAGGTCAGGGAGGCCTTTCCTCCCAGTCACCCCCTTCCAGCTGACTCTGTCGTTCCCGCATGGGCATTGAAGCCACCCAGTAGAATGAGGGAATTTCAATGACACACCAGCCAGAGACTACAGTTTTTGTTTTAGTGATTGTAAGTGGTGTCAAAATCTTTATTGCAAAATGTTCTTACAGTTTCAGTTATTGAGGCTTCAAATTTTGAGACTCTTGGAAACATTTTTGTTAGCACCAAAGTTTTTGCCTCACCTTAGCAAGACTATGTAAGTTCTATTTTTGTCCAACTTGGTTTACTTACTCCTCCTTGAATCGCCACCTTATTGTTGGGGAGGAATTTGTGCACCTGTATGATCCTAGGAGCTCTGCTGTCTGGGGCAATTTTAAATTCCTTGGTAGGGTCTCCCAAGACATATTGGTTCTAGGTGACAGGCCAGACAAAGAATGATTCAGAAGACTTGTATAGACAAAAGAAAACAAGGAACTCTGTGTCCCTTGCCTGGACATGGGTTACTGGGGTCCCACCCAGGAATCAGGCATGGGGGAGGGGCTCGTCGGCGAGCGCCTGGTGACCGAGTCTCTACCCATAGGACCCGGTCAGGCTCAGCCCAAATGAGCAACATGGGTTTGCCTTCCTGTGGGCCCACCACCTGCAGGAGGGGCCATATGAGTCGGGTGCATGTTGCCATGGGCAGTGGCTGAAGGCGGGGACCTTGGTGCTCTTACCCTGGCTAACCAAAGCTGGATCTTACCATATCATACCATACCAATTTATTTCTAAAGCACTTAAAATACAGCAAGCAGCCGTCCGAAGTGCTGTACAAAATTAAAAACAAACAAAACACAGTAAAACAATAAAAACACCTAAATATATATATATATATATAAAAATCAGAACATCATAAGTAAAAGAATACAACATTAAGACACAGATGCTGACTCACTCTAGGTTAAAAGCCAATGAAAAAAAAAGTGTTTTTAAACGAGTTTTAAAAAGAGAAAGTGACGGGGCCTGCCTGACCTCCACCTCATTCCACAGTTTAGGAGCCAGAGCTGAAAGGGCTCTGTCTCTTCTGGATTTATAAAAGGTTTTCAGGACTGCTAAAAGCATCTGGTCAGAGGATCTACTGTAAGAGCGCGTGATGGTATGTGAAGGTGAAGCAGTTCAGACAAATAAGAAGGACTAAGACCGTTCAAAGACTTAAAAACAAACAATAAAACCTTAAAATGGATTAGAAACTGGACAGGAAGCCAGTGAAGGGACATCAGAACTGGAGTGATGTGCTCACACCTGCCTGTACCAGTCAAAAATCGTGCAGCAGCATTTTGTACCAGCTGTAACCGTGAGAGCGAGGCCTGGCTAACTCCTATCAACAGAGAGACAATAATCCAGGTGTGAAGTAATAAAAGCGTGGACTACTGTCTCTAAATGGTGTCTAGAAAGGAGGGACTTGATTTTTGACAGGCGCCTCAGATGTAAAAAAGAGGACTTAACCACATTGTTGACATGGCAGTCAAGTTTCAGGCAGGGGTCCATTTTCACGCCTAAATTTGTCAAAATGGATTTTTCATTTGGGGCCAAAGAGGAAAAATCCAAGGTGAAGAAACTGCTAGAACCACAGGATTTAAAGACCATAACCTCAGTCTCCTTTTCATTAAAATGGAGGAAATTAAGTGCCATCCATCCTCTAATGTCATCAAGACAGTCCAGGAGAGACTGAGTGGAGCCATTTTGTTTCAAAGGGAAGTAGACTTGACAGTCATCTGCATTTAAATGAAACTGCACACCATGCTTTCTGAAAATAGAACCCAGTGGCAGAAGGTAAAGAGTAAACAAGAGAGGACCAAGAATAGAGCCCTGGGATTTAATTCATGTAGATGTTGAAAGTGATAGTTTAAGCATAGCCTTTAATAATTTAATAGACTCATTTGGTTTTACCCAAAACGTCCGCACATCTACTCATTCTTATCATCACACTCTTGATTTAGTTCTGACCTATGGTGTAGAGATTAAGGACTTGGTAATAGTTCCTCAAAATCCTGTTCTGTCCGACCATTTTTTAATAACTTTGAGTTTACATTAAATGACTACACAGTCACTGAGAGTAAAGTTCATCTCAGCAGGTGCTTATCAGAAAATGCTGTAACCAAATTGAAACAATCTCTTCCATCAATGTTTTCCTCTGTCTTGCAGAGTAATGCATCAGAGAACAGAGACTTAGATCATCTAGTTGATCATCTTACAACTTCAATGCAAACTTCACTTGATAAAATTGCTCCACTGAAAAAGAAAGTAATCAATCAGAGGAAACTGGCTCCTTGGTTCAATTCTGAGTTATGTACTTTAAAGCAGCATCTAGAAACCAGGAGAGAAAATGGCGCTCTACTAATGTTGAAGTATTTTATTTAACTTGGAAAGATAGTCTGCTAACATATAAAAAAGCTCTCCGTAAAGCTAGAACTTTATATTACTCATCTTTAATAGAGGAGAATAAAAATAACCCTAGGTTTCTGTTTAGTACTATTGCTAGACTAATTAAAGGTCCCATCTCTGTTGAACCATGTATCCCTACAACTATAAGTAGTGATGAACTCATGAGATTCTTTATACATAAATTTATTTCAATTAGAGAGAAAATTCAAACCATCCTTCCTTCTACTATCTCTAGTCCCCTGTCAAACGAGGCAACTTTAAAAATTTCACTAGAGCCTGATTTGTGTTTGGACAGTTTTTGTCCTGTTGAGCTCTGAATTGTCAAAATTAATAACCTCATCCAAACCATCCACATGCCTGCTAGATCCCATCCCAACCAGACTGTTTAAAGAGGTATTTCCACTAATTAATGTCCACATTTTGGATCTACTTAATTTGTCTTTAATGGATGGTTATGTACCACAGTGTTTTAAGGTTGCTGTAATTAAACCTTTACTTAAGAAGTCTGGCCTTGATTCAGAAATTCTGGCCAACTATAGACCTTTATCTAATCTAACTTTCATCTCAAAAAGTCTATAGAAAATAGTTGCAGGTCAGTTGCGTGAATATCTACAAAGAAATAATGTGTTTGAAGAGTTTCAGTCAGGGTTTAGAGCTCATCATAGCACAGAAACAGCACTAGTAAAAAGTTACTAATGATATTCTCATGGCCTCAGACAATGGACTTGTGTCTCTACTGGTTCTGTTAGACCTCAGTGCTGCATTTGATACAGTTGATCACAATATTTTACTACAGAGGCTTGAATATGATGTTGGGATTACAGGAACGGCTCTAAAATGGTTTAAATCATATCTATCTGATATATTCCAGTTTGTAAATGTAAGTAATAAATCTTCTTCATACACCAAAGTTAGTCATGGAGTTCCTCAGGGCTCAGTGATTGGGCCAATGCCATCCATCTTTCTATCCATCCATTTTCTTCCGCTTATCCGGGGTCGGGTCGCGGGGGTAGCAGCCTAAGTAGGGAGGCCCAGACTTCCCTCTCCCCAGCCACTTGGGCCAGCTCTTCCGGGGGAATCCTGAGGCGTTCCCAGGCCAGCCGAGAAACATAGTCCCTCCAGCGTGTCCTGGGTCTTCCTCTGGGCCTCCTTCCGGTGGGACGTGTCCGGAACACCTCACAAGGGAGGCGTCCAGAAGGCATCCTAAACAGGTGCCCAAGCCACCTCAACTGGCTCCTCTCGATGTGGAGAAGCAGCGGCTCTACTCTGAGTCCCTCCCGGATGATCGAGCTTCTCACCCTGTCTCTAAGGGAGAGCCCAGACACCCTGCGGAGAAAACTCATTTCGGCCGCTTGTATCCGAGATCTCATTCTTTCGGTCACAACCCAAAGCTCGTGACCATAGATGAGGGTGGGAACGTAGATCGATCGGTAAATTGAGAGCTTCGCCTTTTGACTCAGTTCTCTCTTCACCACGACAGACCTGTACAGCGCCTGCTTCACTGCAGACGCTGCACCTATCCGCCTATCGATCTCACGCTCCATTTTTCCCTCATTCGTGAACAAGACCCCAAGATACTTGAACTCCTCCACTTGGGGTAGGACCTCCTCCCTGACCCGGAGAGGGCACTCTACCCTTTTCCGGCTCAAGACCATGGCCTCGGATTTGGAGGAACTGATCTTCATCCTGGCCGCGTCGCATTCGGCTGCGAACCGCTCCAGCGAAAGCTGTAGATCACGATCTGATGAAGCCAATAAGACCACATCATCTGCAAAAAGCAGAGACTCAATCCTAAGGCCACCAAAACGGATCTCCCTGAACACCTTGGCTGCGCCTAGAAATTCTGTCCATAAAAGTTATGAACAGAATCGGTGACAAAGGGCAACCTTGGCGGAGTCCAACTCTCACCGGGAACAAGCCCGACTTACTGCCGGCGATGCGGACCAGGCTCTGACACCGGTCATACAGGGACCTAACAGCCCGTATCAAAGGGCCCGGTACCCCATACTCCAAGAGTACCCCCCACAGGGCCCCCCGAGGGACGCGGTCGAACGCCTTCTCCAAGTCCACAAAGCACATGTAGACTGGTTGGGCAAACTCCCACCCACCCTCCAGGACCCTGCTGAGAGTGTAGAGCTGGTCCAGTGTTCCACGCCCAGGACGAAAACCGCACTGCTCCTCCTGAATCCGAGGTTCGACTATCCGACGGACCCTCCTCTCCAGAACCCCCGAATAGACCTTACCAGGGAGGCTTAAGGGGGGCCAGGGGGCCAATGCTCTTTACTTTATATATGCTTCCATTAGGTAAAGTTATTAAACAGCATGGGATAAATTTTCATTGTTATGCTGATGACACACAATTATATTTGTCCATTAAACCCAATGAATCCAATCAGCTACTTAGACTACAAGCATGTCTTAAAGACATAAAAACCTGGATGACCCTTAATTTTCTCCTGTTGAACAGACAAGACTGAGGTTTTGTTTTTTGGACCTGAGCACCTTAGGAATGAATGTTTCAGTCTTTCTCCCTCCTTAGATGCATTAATCTGTCCTCCAGCTCTAATGTTAAAAATCTTGGTGTTATTTTTGATCAGGACATGTCTTTTATC